CTCTCTGATTCCTATGCTGTATGCCAAGACTGGGTTGTGGAATTATGATTGGGACATTCTCAATGTATATCCCACATCTGGGCCCTAAGTCATCTTTAAAATCAATGTGTTGATAGATGTAGATGGAAGATAGGATGATCCTGTTTATGGATCATGCTTCAAACATTCATTTCATGAATGGATCATGAATGGCATAAACAGATGATCTACTTCTTGTGCCTGCCCTAGACTCTCACCACCGTAAGGCAGCACTCATGTTCCAGTCATCATCATTTCTCCAAGACCCAGCACAACTCTTAGCCCATATTTGGTCTTTAATGTATATTTGTTGAATGACTAAATGAATGAATGGAGATTATCAGTCAGAAATTAATTCTCACATGAGTTTTCCCTGGAATTCTACATATATGTTTAGACAAATTTCTCCTACTCCCAGTATTTTACAGGATTTTTTTTACAGGATATATAAGTAATATAGGTGCCTAGCAGTTTGTATTTATATTTATATATATATACAAGCATATTATACACACGCACTTTATCTCTTGACAAATAAAATCTCTATTCTCAAACCATTCTTTCTTAACTGCTTACCTGAAAATTCATTTTAATCTCTGAATTTCAAGTGATCTGATGCAGATTTAACACTTATAAGTGACTGCTTTATATTAGGTACTGTCCCAGGTGGTTTCGCTGGATATGTCTGTCATCTCCTGCATTTTATAACTTAAAGGTTGCCCCCACCCCACTCCTGTACCTATCAGTATATAATCAACATCAACACAGGCAGTATTTGAACTCTAGCCTTTCTTGTGATTCTACCCCAATGCTCCTTGGGACAATAAACCAAACTCAAAAGCATAGAAACCTACTCCAAAGCACATATTCCAGAACCTGTGCTTTTCTGACCAATTGTTAAATACTTTGCTGATATGACCATTGCTTTGCATGGTAAATTAGCAGGTGAAAGGATGAAAGGGAGACCACCAGCCAGGAGAAGACTGTCAAAGCACAGGGCCTTTTGAATTCCTCACCCCTCTCTAACCTCCCAGCCCTAGGCTGCTTCTGGATATAGTAAGAATTGTCTCCCTCTCTGAATAAACTCCCAGGTGGGGCTTCTTATCCAACCTCCGGGACTGTTTTGCAATAAAATAACTAACAGCTCCACAGCCCTGACTCCTCCCTCTGCCCACCTCTTCCAGGGGAGTGCTAGGAAAATCATGACCCCTGGAAGTCTGACAACAAAGAAAAGCAAAGACATGTGCCTAGATCAGCCAAGTGTCAGAGGAGCTCACTTGACAGAATTCTTACTGAGCGAAAAGGAGAGATGTACTTGGGTCCTCTCATTGGCATCTCTGTCTCACCTGCAGCCCTGCTTGTCTCCTAGAGCAGGGGTCCCCAACCTCCAGGTTGTAGTCCTGTACTGGTCCATGGCCTGTTAGGAACTGGGCTGCACAGCAGGAGGTGAGTGGTGGGCCAGTGAGCGAAGCTTCGATCTGTATGTGCAGCTGCTCCCCAGAGTTAGCATCACTGCCTCAGCTCCACCTCAGATCATCAGGCATTAGATTTTCATAAGCACACCAGTCCCTGGTGCCAAAAAGGTTGGGGACCACTGTCCTATAATAAAGTGACGTGGTCTTCACAGAGAGCCTAAGGGAGGTTGTAAAACAAGCCAGGGGCTTCTGGATTGTTACATTTGCTCAATATGTTTCAATTCCCCCTAGCCCAGCCCAGCCCAGCCACTATTTTTTCTTTCTTTGGAGAGGAAAGCTGTCAGGTGACCCTGAAATTTTTTTTGTTCTCATTAGCTTGGCCTGTGGGTGTGTGATTATTTGCAACCCAAGTGTTAAGGGTATAATGCTATTATGAGGACAGGGGCCTACTCTAGAGATTATCTTGTGAACCTATGAAAGGTTGCAGGCTCCAAATAACTGTTCTGTTGATGCATCAGGGAATCTTAGCAGTTAAAAGTAGCAGCAAAACCCAGGAACTATCTTTATAGACAGTACCCAGGAAAGTACTTGTACAACCCACCTGCTTTTCTGCAAGAAACCTGCGAGTGCTTCTAGGCAATAAAATTACATGTCAGGAGGTAAAGAAATAATGCATTTGTGTATCTTTGTTCAATTTTCGGGTAGAGCAAACAATTGTCCACAGTACATGCCAGAAGGAACTATGTCAGAAATAGACTGTTAAGCCTATAAGGCAACATACTTGATTGCAGAGATATAACATATTTACTCCTGCGGGCTGTTACAGTTAGGATATTCATTTATATCTCCTGTTAAATCATGTAGAAAGTTATTTTATGTGACCACTTTTTCACAGACTGGTTTAAGTGAGGGAGCAATCTGGTGGAAGGAAAGAAAATATTGATATTGGGCAGTTTTATGAGAATGTAAATCAAATCCAAAGTTTGAGATCCAAAAGAATTAAATTATTGATGATAGAATTTACTTTGGTACATTGTTCCTGATTCGAGCTGCATAAATAGTTCGGTGATTCTGTGTTTGTTGTTGTTGTTTGTTTGTTTGTTTGTTTTGGGGTTTTTTTTTTTGCTGAGAATAAAATAGATGATGTACAGTTTGATTTTAAATTCTCAGTTACTCACAAATTGGAATGAAAATTCTCAGTTACAAATTGAAATGGATGTTTAAAAACTGAAAGATTTTCAAGATTATACTATTGGTCAACTTGTGTGGGCTAAATAACATTTATCACCATTCTGATTATGTGTAAATAAAGTGAGAAAGGACAAAAAAAAGTATCAGTTAAGGAAAATTTGATTTATTTTGGTCTTTGATAGTTCTTAAGTGTGCTTCTTTAACTTGGTCTGGACTAAAAGAAAAAAAAAATACTTTTTTAATACTACTTTAAAAAATACCTTTTTGATACTAATAATACTTTTTCATCAAAACTATGATTTCAATGAAAGGCCTTTCTTTTTTCCTTATTGTCAACATGTAAATTCAGAAAGGATTCTAATGGGAAAAAAATCCCTCTTATGTATAGAATTCAAATAATCAATTATAGGTAATCTGATTCTAGTCATTAACGCTTGCGGTGTGAATGCCTCCTAATCACAGGTTGATGACAGCCTATATTTTAATTTTCTATGAGACTTACTGGTAGCAAACTGTTGTTAAGGTTGTGCTATTTTGTCAATATTGAGTTAAGAAACAATTAAGCTCCATGAAAACATTCTTACCATGATCTGTTCCACTAGCCTAGATGGGAAAAACAAGCATAAACAGTTTAGCACCACTCAAAATAAATTTGTTGTCAAGAGAAAAAGAAGACGAAAGTGTATCCCTCAGCCTTTGGTTAACTGTGAGAATTACCAAGATGATGACATGCTTATCACACTGTGTTATAATTGTGTTCTTGCCAACTTCCTACCAGATGTGCTCTCTCTGAAACCAAGGAACACATCCTAGTCATCTAGCTTTGCAAATACTCTGCAAACTTGTATAGAATAAATGAAGGATGAAATGAATAAACAGAAGTACATTATACCTAGGATATTTAAATATTCTGACTTTATCTTTAATATTGTCAGTTTCAGTTATCACACTTGATGCTTATATAGTGGCTGAAAAAATACTGCATAATTTACCTGTCCATCTTAATTCTATCACCAGTAACCATATGGGTACAAAGCTTCAAGATTATAGTGAATTTAGTAAGTGATTCTTTATAAAGTGTTTTTGAAATTTGCAGGTGAAAAAGAAATCTTAGTACAAATAGATATGGAATTGATAAATGGTTGTCTGGAGAAAATGCCAGATCCTTGAAATACCAGGGACATGTTATTGGTTTTACCTGTGGCCCTTAGCTAGAATTGTGTCACATGCTCACTTCTAAGCCAGTCATTATAAAGAAATGGAATTACCAAGACTGGCTTTGACCTATCAAGACTCACCTCCTTGGACTGAGAGGGTCCTAGTTTCTCCTACTGTCCCAAGCTGCCTGATACCTGAAGAAAATTAGGGTTATTAATATATCAGTAAGAACTATATTTGGTTTTATATTGGAAAAAAACCTCAAAATAACAATGACTTTTATTTTCACCTCACATAGAAGTTCTGAGATAGACATTGCAGCTCCATTCATTATCAAGAACAGACTTATTTTATTTTTCTACCCAATGGTATTTAATATGTGACTTCCATTGTCAAGGTAGCTGCTGAAGCTCCAGCCATCACTTTCATATCCCAGACAGGAAAAGGAGGAAGAAGGGTGCATCCCCTTCTTCTTAGAGACTTTCTGTAAGCCCAAGAAAATAGTCTTCTCATAACTCTATTGTTCAGAAGTTTGTCACAAAGTGACACTTAGATACAAGGGGGACTGGGAAATGTAGTATGATATACCCAGTCAAAAAATTAGGGTCAGTTAGGAAGAAGGGGAAAATGGATATTGGAGTAAACAACTACCAGACTGTTACAGGTAGCAATGACAAAAGGATGGCATAAATAAAGATGTGGGAGGAGGAAAGTAGAGCACATAGGAAACAATGAGTTGTCCGTATTCTCCACTATTCAACCTAGCTCTACTGCAAGTGATTTTACACAGTGAAATAGTCACACGGCAGAAGAATAGAAAGGAGAGGCAAAGGATATCGTAAATCAGCGAAGTGTAGAAACTGTGTACAGATAATTAGGATTGTGTTTTGCACTATATCATTTTTTAGCCTTCTTGGAGTACTTTACAACATGAAAGGATGTTATTTTTCCAAATATGGAAATGTGAAAGTCAAGGTATGAATAATCTGTCCAGACTAACCATCTTAATTAGCAACAAGGTCACCTTTGGAAAAAGCAAAATATTACCTAGAAGGACAGGCTTATTATGAAGAGAATCAGGTTCTCTAGAAGTAGAAGAAAGAGGCAAATGAGGAGCTAATTAGCTACAGTGAGCTGTGGGAAACTTATTGGTAAATTAGTGTCCATGTGTATAGTCTCATTATTATAAACAGTAACTCTTTTCTTTATATTTTAAAGGTAGCCAACCAAGTTGTTCAAGCTCTCCTCACTCAAAAGGTAGGTCACTTTCTGGTTTTATTATTTTAAATACCTATGTGAATAGATTGAAACTCATATTGTCAAACTAGGAAATTGTGATTGATAGATGCAATACTTTTCTATTTATTCACTTAGGTTAAAATCGTTTGTGTTTTAGATGGCATATGAAGTAACATTGATGACCAATAGAATCATAAAATTCAAACTCTTGGTAAAGTAACAGAAAGCCTTTTGAAGATGAAATATTTCCATAGACCCAGATGAGTAGAAAACCTATCATTTTTATTTAGTAAATGCAAACATTGAATAAGTTGGTGGATTCCTCCAATTCCTGTAAAATGAATAGCCTCTTACAGACAGTATTAACAGAAGCCAACAATTCAGCAAGAGATTTTTGAGGTTTGGGAAGTTATTTAATTTCTCTGGGTCTTAGTTCCCCTCTTGTAAAATGGGGATAACAGTGCCCACCTCCCAGAATTGCTGTTGTCCTTCTATGAAAAGAAGCATATAGAGCAGTTCCTATAGGAATCAGTTGGTGATAAATATAAAATGAATGGTGGTATTGTATATTTGAAATTGCTGACGGTAGATCATAAACATCGTCATCTCACACACACACACACACACACACACACACACACAGTTAACTATGTGAGGTGACGAATATATTATCTTAATTTTGATGATCATTCCACAGTATAATATGTATCAGATCATCACATATTACACTTTAAACATACACAATTATATTTGTCAATTATTCTCTGATAAAGTTGGAGGAAAAACACAAATGGTAATTTCTGAGCATGGAGCGTGAAATTTCTATACCTACTTCTTTGCTATCTCTCTATTCTGTCTTTAGACAATATAATATATTATTGGGGCAGAGTTTGTAAATGTAGGTAATTGCCCAAATTTGGCTGGTTCGGTGAATTCTATTGAACCTTTCCCATCTCTTTCTATAATGTTTCTCAGAGGCTAAATTGTAATTCCTTTATGTTTTGTTTATTCTGAGTTACCCTCTGAGATGGAGCCTCCCTCTATTCAAGGAAATCTTAGATCATATGGCATACTCGGGAGGATGTGATTAATGAGATCAAAATAATTTATGGCATTTGGATTTTTTAAATTGAAAACAATTTTAAATATTATTTCAAATTTATGTTATAGAGGCATGATTTTTGCTAGAATTTCTTCCCCAACTGCTTCTGTTCAAATGTGCTTTCTGCCACAAATAGTTTTAACTACTTCAGGTTTTATGTTGACATCATGTAACATGATGAAATATGAATGCACTTATGTAAGAGTTACAGTTAGGTTCCGTTGTGAGTAACGGAGATCCAAAATAATAGTGGCTTAAGTGAGCTAAATGTTATTTCTTTCTCGCATCAAAATCCACAGGTAGGCAGTACAGGTGACATACCCCATAAAGTCCATGGAGTCCCTACCATCCCTGGCTTCTATCTTGTTATTCTGTGGAATGTGGCCTCCATTTCCAAGGTTACTTCATGGTTCAAAATGGCTGCTCTAGCTTCAATCATCACATCCAAGAATCAGGAAGAAAGAAAACCTAAAGAAAATGAAAAGGGTTAAGCACATACCAGCTGTCTTTTAAAAGAGACTTTCAAAACCTTTCATACCTCCCAACTTAATCTCCTTGAATAGACCTGGGTCACACAGCCACACCTGAGGAAGTTGGCAGTGAAGCCTATATTCTGGGTATGTGCCCAGCTGAAAATTGATTGACAGATTATTGTGGAAGAAGAGGAGAAACAGATGTTGAAGAACAACTCACTTTCTTTCACAACATATTTCAATGCTTTTTCTTTTTTCAAAGGCTTTAGTTTTCCAGTGGCTCTCCTATTGAAAACTCTATGCTTATTTAATTACAAACCTAAGGAACACCGGGAGCACTGTTGCAGCTCTATGTGTAACTGTTGAAAGACTTCTCGTGCCTGTCTTTTTAAATGGTGCCTCAGGAAACAGACAAGAAAAAAGTCTCGTACGATATACAGGGAAATGAGACTCTTCAGGTCAGCCACAAAAAATAGCTACACAAAAAGAAGTAATAACTAGTAAACAGATAAATCTACCTTGGTACAGTTAAGCAGTAAGACACAGAAGGACGTGCTACTGTGCAATAGCATACCTCAGGGACACGAAGAGGCAGAAAGAGATGCCAAGGGCTCTCTGAGATTTTAAAGGAATCATGTTCTGCAGAAACGTGTGCCTCCCAATTTTTATAGGGATTATAAAATTGCGGCAAAAAGATTAAAACTTCTTTAATTAAGAGCACAATATAGGAAACAAAATGTCCTCCAAATGTGGATGAAAAAACTAATTCTAAAGAAAATACACCTCCTCAGGAGACACAGGGTAAAAACAGAAATCTTGAATGATCTATCCAAATCACAGAAATAATTCTTGACATGAAATTATAAGTATTCAATTTTAGAATATAGCATTTGTTATGACACAAAGGCAAACCTGCCATGGCTCTTCTGTGGGCAGCAAAAAAGCATTTCTCTTGGCATATCTTGAATCAGCCCAGATAGTAACAGAGTGTACTTCTTTTCTCAATAATAATAGGAAAAAAATATTTTCATAAACTTATCAGTTTCTGTTAAATTTACACATACAGCCTTAGTTAAGTTATTCAGTTTATCTCAAAACCCTGTAGATTTCTTTAAGAGAGCAGACTGTCCCTCCTTCAGATTAATAATGCTAAAATGACAATATTAAACCCAGCTTACTTCCATTTATGACTCCAAATTATAGGTTCAAGTCTACAAGTGCAAGTGAAATCAATAAGTGGGCTAAACTCATATTTTTTTCTGAAATATAGTTTATCTTCATTAAGTCAATTATACGAGCCGAAAATATAACTCTCCTATTTTTCAATGACTTTTTTTTAACCACTAAAACCGAACTTGGAAGAGAAGCATTTTTCCCTGAAGTTATTTTCCAGCATATCAAAGGCTTCAGCCTTATCTGCAAGTTCTTTAGGGTAACCAAATATTAATATGGTGTTTTTTTCTTCACCACCATAGAATAAGGCTGTTGTATCTTGAACCTAGCAATACAACCATTCGGATAGAAACAAAACACAATTCTGTTGCTTGAGACTGAAAGAACGTAAAACTCCTACATGTTTCCCTTGTAAGAGGAGTAGTCAGGCCATCTGAGTCCACTTGTCTAGCAGTGGTGTACACAGGATCTGGTTTCCTGAAGAGGGTCTGTTTATATTTATTGTGCTCTTACAAGGAGTCAGACCCCATGTCTAGCATTTTAAATGCACTGTCATTTTATTCTTTCTGCAACCCTGTGATATAGCACTAAAAATAATTTGTCCCTAGTTCCATTTGTTAGAAGTGGCAAAGCCTATACTTTAACCTAAGGTTATTACACTCAAATGCCCTGCTCATGTCCTCTATACCATTCAGCCTACATGATCCCAATCACTCATTGTTTTTCCCTATACTTTTTTGCAAAGAAGATGCTATGAAAATCAACAGATGCATTGAAATCCAATCATTAGTTATGATCACAGGAAATAAAACAAAAGGTAACCAATAGATTTCTTAAAACTTCTGGACGCATTGCCAGTCCTTGCTAGCAAGGACACTCAGAATCTGACGTATGGGGTCAAAGATGATTATAAATTTGGAATCAAGCTTTCTCAAAATCAGTCTTATTTTGGATCCTAAAATTTTGCAATTGCCAGGGACTTTAGAGAGCATTTAATCCTGAGATTATCAACCAGGTTTTGTAATGAGCTCAATTCACTGTAATTACATGAACTGTTTAGCCATCACCCAGATTTAAAATGTTTTAATCCAAATGTCTGTAGGAGGAAGGCTTGAAGTGTTCAATTTACCACAGAACTCACTGCTTCTTACTGATTAGATCTGGTTTATTTGGTCACACATTTAATGACCTGCCTTATTACTTTTTAATGGTATTTGATGTTGAGGTCCTTGATTAGTCTGAGATGTGACTAGCCTTTTCCAGCAATGGCTTTTCTTTTTACAGAAGTCTTAGAATCCTTGGAAGAGAAAGGAATGTATCAGTGATAGCCACTTAGAGAGGCTGGTGGGTGTGGTATCCATTAAGCTTCAGGGAGGGATTGAGAGGGCACTTAACAAGCCATCTGAAGCAGCTGGGAGAGCCATTCTCTCAATAGCCTGGTTTTATGCAGTATCTCAGTTCACAGATGAGGAAACTGAGCCCCAACCAGAATAAGTTACTTCCTCAAGGTCATGTGGGCCCAGAGCCCAGCCCCCCTACCTCCCGATATGGTATATTCCCATGATACACACTGCCTCTGAAATAGATATACCACTATATTATAATTTTTACATGAAAAAAAATCAGGTTTAAATAGTTTTCAACAATACCATAGTGATAATGTCAGTATATATCTTGCTTCTAAGCAATCAGAATTTTCTTAAAAATTTACTTCAGCAGGGAGTCTGGTAATGATTTTGCTCTAAAAACATGAGGTAACTACATTCCATAGCAGTGAACTCATAATCTTCAATCCCAGGTGCAGGTGAAACTTATAATATGTGGATCGTCCCCAGAAGTTATGATTTGGAATTATTAAGATATACAGGGCCATTTTAAATCAGTATATCCCATTGCTCAGTATATTTTGCCCTCACATTCAGCATTAATTCTTTACTCTGTTTCCAACTGATCATGATATACATATTGCAAGGAAAACAGGTCTGTCTATTTTCTTGAATCCAAAGGCCATTATACTTTCTTACATGAGATTAAATGAAGTCGATCTTTGGCATTATTTCCAGGTGATAAAATTGTACATCATGTCTCCATTTTTTATTTCAGAAGATACAACCCTAAATTTTCAGTGGGATCCTCTTCTTGAGACCTGAGACATACTAGGGAGTTCACAGAGAAAGAAGGGCTTTGAGAGAGGACAGATGGTCCAGCTCCTGCTTAGAGCTAGATCCTGGATGTTGGCATCTAAACAGAGGAGAGTTATTTTATTTTTAATACTTTACTTGGGAAGGATAATCTAGTTCTTGCCTCTGTAACTGATGAGGTCAGAAAAGTAGCTCTTGTATCCAGCCTAAACATGTCATACATTCCTGTATGTTAGTGGGTTCTCATTGTGAGCATAGAGAAAGGAAAAACAGTCAGATGCCACTCTGCCCAGGTCTTACTGTAGTAGTCAGAGAAATTGTTGTTTTCCTCTCTCTTTCCATCTATCCAGTCTGGTTCTGTTTATACATGTACACGTGGGCACGCATACATGGTTTTGATTATAGCTCCTAGCGATGATAGCTGTCTGGCATTAGTTTCTATCCACAGCATGACCGAAGAGAATGAGAATATTGAAAAACAACACAGGCAATTCTTTTATGTCTACAAATTTTCAGTCCAGCTCAATTCTGTTCATACATGATTGTAAGACCAGTGTCACATTCCTAATGCCTTCCATTTCCCCCTCTGCCCTGTGCTGATCTGGATGAGCCAAGAGTGATGAACAGTTCTCAAGGTCGATAAATTGTGTTCCCGCTAATGAACTTTTACCACCTTAAGTAATAGTAATTGCCATTGAAATTTGGGCACATGTACAAAAATCCTCTATAGAGTATATTGATTTTTTTCTTCCTTTTTCTTTTTACTTTTTTACCCATCTGAAGAACAATTTCAACTTCTCAGTTTTGCCACTAAAAACTACTGATGGCATTCCTTACAGGTCTTTCTCTTTGTAAGTCCACACATGTATGCTCCTGTTTCCATATCTCTACTTGCAAATGAGAATGATGGTGTTCTCTCACCCAGTGGTACTATTAACATTTATTTACCTCACAGTCAAGTTTTATTAATTACATAATTAGCAGTAGTAAAAACAATTAGTGTTTGGGAGCAGGGAGTGTTACATACATTCTGAGAACAAAAATTAGCATAAGTGAGACATAGAAGTTGAATTCTAAATAAAGAAAACAAATTTAGCCTTTTAACTTGAACCCTGCCTAGCCCCCTCCAAAATGGGCTCTGCCAAATGGCATGTATACTCATGAGCACACACGGCCATACATACTCCTGCCCCTGCCTTCGATGGCTGCTGCCCTCCCAGATCTTGCACCCAGGTGCCTGCTCTGAACATGACTTCTCTTTTCTCCACTCTGCATTTGTAGTCAGCAGTCAGTTAAAGCATCCTATGCATAAGCTTCACTCATTTTACTAAAAAGGTCAGTAGGGTGGAAGCTATAAAGTGAGTCACACCTTGGCTTCTCTCTTTCTTTGCCCCCAGTAAGTAGAATGAATAAGCCTGAATATGATGATACCTGCTCAGGTAAAGCCTCAGAAGCTGGATCTCTCTAGCTTCACACTTAGGTTGACACAAAGTCACGGAACAAGCTCGCTCAGTCCGTGACTCCCATTGAGGCCCTGGGGATCAGAGCTGTTGACTGGTACTCTCTGTTGCTTACAGAGCCTTAAGTAAAGCTTGTAGCCGCCCCACGTCAGAATATGTAGGCGGACAAGCTAAAAGTGTTGAGAAACTCAAACTCTCTTTATCACATCATCACTAGGGAATAGAATTCATCACCATCCTCTTTAACAGAAAAATCGCACAAATATATTAAGCTCCTACAATGTGGTGCTGTGCTAGGGGGTGGAATAAGAGTGTAAGAACAATATGGTTGTGCTTTTGTTTATCTGAGTATCTTCTTTTGCTAACCTTTTCATTAATGGGCCATCTAATTAAGAAGATAAGTCTAGAGCATGAAAGATCAAATCGATACAAAGTAGCATATGCTAAATGCCATATAAGAGGCCTTGTGGGCTCTCTGGGGTTTAGAAAAGAGAACAATCTTTGAGTAACACCAGATAAAAGCATCAGAGAGGAGCTACATGGAGTTTGAATCAGATGTCAGTCATGTAGACAGACTTGGAAAGGAAGAAAGAGATGCTTGAGAAGGGAAAGTGATAGTTGGGGAAGAAGGGTGGCTGGAATGCAGAGAGCATTTGAGAACAATAAGCAGACCCTTGTTCTTTGCATGGGAAGAGCAGAGGCCTTGTTGTTTCTTTCTTTCTTTGTTTTTAATGAAGAAATCATGAAACGTTTTAAAGAACCTTGAATAAGGCCTTTATTCTACCTGGTTTTTCTCGAACCCTATCAAAGAGGTCATAGACATTTAAGTACTATGAGCGTCTTTATCACAAGTCAGTTTGCAAGGTAGTTCTTTGGTGGAATTCCAGAGAATCCTAACACTGTCCTGTGTCAACTCCCCTTATGAAAGCTGGGAACAGGTCTCTGCGGTGTTTGAACTATTCAAAAGAGCTCCTCCCAAAGGATGATAGGTACAGTTACTCTGCTTCCCCAGCACTAAGACCAAATGCCCCCCAAAATATAGAAAAAGTTACAGAAATCCACAGTTCAAAGGATGGGCAAGTTTCAAGTGGCCTTTTAAAGCTTTCATTTCAGAATTGCTTCACTCCCTCTAAATGCATCACTGACTCTATTAGCAACAACACTGAGAATTTCAACTCGTTTCCACAAACGACAACAATGAAAGGCTCCATCAAAAGTGATAGTTTCTTTAGTTCATCAAATCTCTATTCACTACAAAAAGATTGTTGTCCTTGTGCTTCGTGCTTTATGATTGCCTTTATGAAAACGGAAAAGGCAAAATATATAGGTAGAAACTTAAATTGACTTTATATTTCTAAGATTTACCATCTTCAAAAATAGTATGCTAGATTAATGCATTTCTGATTTCAAGGTGTGCTTTAAAAAAAAAAGGTCTTCCCTGCACACAATAATTCTATCAGACAATGGGATGTGATAGGAAAGCATTGCGTGTGATTTATTTCTGGAGGCTTTGAAGAATAAAAATACTATTTTTTACTAATGTGTCTGAAATATCATATAAAGTACGGTTATAATATGCAAAGGTGTCTTTCAGTTATAGAATTTTTATTTCTTTCGATGTGTTTGTTGTAGGATCTAAGGGAGGAATGTGTAAAGTTGAAAACAAGAGTGTTTGATTTGGAACAGCAGAATCGAACATTAAGTATCTTGTTCCAACAGCGAGTCAGACCAACTTCTGATCTGCTCCTCCAGGTATGTGTTTATGTAGAAAACAATCTTTGCTAGTGACAAGAAGTTATTTAAGTTCAAAGTTACCAATATCTCCATGGTCAAGGCATATGGCATCAGAATCCCGATCCCACCCCCTCCCCCGCCCCCCTCTCAAGGGATGTCATTAAAATTGAAAATCTCTTAAGTTTATGACTCTTTAAAGCTAAATTTAGATAAAGAAATGCATCAACAAATAATAAACAGTAAAAGGAACAATCAGAAAGTATCCTCTAGTAAACTAAGCAAATTTGTGGTACAGAGTTAGGAAATAATTAATTACATGGAGGACCAGTACTAGTAATCTTTCATTTCATAATAAGCAAGGAAGAGTTTTACATTGCCACAGTACATTTCTTTATTTCAACTCTCTGTAATCAGAAATATAGCTGGGGAGTGTTTTCCTTTCATCTCGTCCTCTATGTAGCACTCCTCCTCATAACACATACTTCCCATATTCCGCCTCAGTGTTTTGCAGCTTCTCTTTGTCTAAATGCTCTCATAGAACTCTTTCTTTACTTACCTCCATTACATGCAAAGTCATGGAAAGTCAAACTATTTGAATTATTATGAAGCTGTCTCTGACAAAGTCCTCTGGAATATATCTGACTACAGGGAAGCACATGAATCAGCAAAGGGGGCTGGAGGGCTGATCTTTGCTGTTGCCTTTTTTTAAAATCCTTTTAATGTGCATATTTGCTCAAACGGGCTCTGGTGAGCCTTGCTCAGAGCCCTTTCTGAGACTCAGCTTGCAGAAGAGAGGGTATATGAGGTTTCACAGGGGCAACGTACAATTAATTTACAAAAGATCACCCCCAGCTTTCTGGTCTAATTGCCTGAAAAAAAGGGGAAAGACAGAGGTATCCTCTAAACTACACTGTCCAGCACTATAGCCACTAAGCCACGTGGCACTATTGAAATTGAACATTAAACAAAAATTAAGTTCCAATATCAAATTAGTCACATTTCAAGTGTTGAAAAGCCACATATGACCAGTGGCTGCCATATTAGTGTATATACAGAATATTTCCATCGACATAGAAAAGTTCTATGGGACAGCACTTTTCCAGATGATTGAGATAGTGTTGCTAATTTACTCTCTAAACTTTGGCATATAGACATCTTTCCCTGGCACCTCAGGGAAATAATGAAAAATTACAGTTCATTTCAGAGAAAGAAAGATGTTTGGTAAAGCTGAACATTAAAATGTAATTCCCTCCCAAAATTAAAATAAAACAGCTCTCTAAATTGTAAAATAGATCTCATCTCTTAAATTAATTTCCTCTCTGCTTTATCTGTTAGAGCATAATTAATAATTTATAATTCAAAATTGTGTGGAAAAAAGTTGTCTACCTCTGTTCTATTTTCTAGTCCCGACCACAATAAATGTTGGTCATAGAGACTCTTTCATCTGTAAAAAGTTGTATTTCTTTTGCTCTCTTGTAACCAAGATCCAATGTGATTATTACTTTTAACAGCTGTTGGATGTTCATGACTTTTTCTCTTTTACCTGTTTTAACTTGAGGCTTTTCTCGAACAATGTTCAAGGATCTGTGGTATGTGTTTGTGAATCATGATGGTTTATTTCCACAGGAAACACATGTGCCATGGATATTTAAGCTTTCTCATTAGCTGTCACAAATTTCTTAAATCCATATCCAAATGGCAGGGGATGGCCAGTATGCTCACAGTAGAACTTGGTGTTTATTCATTGGGTATTTTCAGCCAATACACTTTATATTTCTCCCCAAGTAGTCCTCAGGTTCAGGAGCCATTATGGTGTAATTGACACTTGAAAAGGATGGGCTGTTAATAGTTCTGTAAAGAAGAATGATAGAAACTGTGATGCTTGCCCTCTAACATCTTATAGTTCTCAATCACAGGCAGACAACATTGCTGGCTTTTCAGGTGGTCTGTTTATTATTTAACTCATGATGTTTCATTTTCTGGTGGCACAAATACATATCATGGTACACTGGCTAAATTAAAATCATTCTGAGCTTGCTTTGCACCTATGAAAACTTTGTGATTGCTTGTTGAATGGAATAATGAAGAAATGACACAATTCATTCTGCAAATTGAGGAATTATTTTGCATACACCAAAGAGAATTTTATGCTCCCACCTTGTCTTCTGAACTATTCCTGTTTAATATGGATGCTTAGGAAATATGCAGCCATACTGACCAGCCCAGTCTGTTTGACGATGTGGCCTGTTGCATGGAACACAAATCCACCAGTGTGCCTGGTCCCAAATATTATAGACCTTATAGCTTCTGCCTATGGATTAGAAAGCTGGTACAGTAGGTTTCTAAGTAGTTTTCTGCATATCTCAGAAAACTGCATCAGTTGTCTTCTGCTGAGCACAGCCTAATGATTCTCTACAATCTGAAGTAACCACCTGAAGAGAAATAAAGGTCGTTGAACACATTGTGATTTTAGTAGATACCTTGTAAGTAATAGAAAACAATTTACAAGAAGCGGTCCATTCTTTGTCACTCGAAAATAGAGAATAAAAGGTTACATGGATATTATTTAGCAAATTCTTGTGTAGGAGGAACAGAAAGGGATCATTCTAAGGATTAGCTGACAATTCTGGGAAATTTACAAAGGGAACCAGGAAGAAGAAATGCTTAACCTGAAAATTAAAATCTTAAGAATGGCAATAAATTTCTCTGTTGATTTTAATTTCCAAGATGATATCTCTCGGGCTATTGTTGGTAACAAGTCAGATTAAGAGGTCCCTCTATTTCGAAATCAACAATTTAAGCTAAATTCCAAAGAACCGAGAAGCCAGCCTAGCACGTAAAACCCAAAAGTAATGTTGTTAATGGAACTGGACTCTCTATCTAAACTTATTTGAATCTACTGGCCACATTAACCAATGCTCACCATTTCCTCTTGTAAATCGTAATTACCTCTCAATTTACCAAACATTGGTAACCAGTGGAGAGCTTACTTCTCTTACCAGTCAAGTTGAATGAAATGTTTGTAATTCAGTATGTTTATGCGAGTAGTACATGTTGTGGTAATTATGTAATTTTTAAAGGACTACATAAACTGATGAAATATGGTATAAAAAATTGTTTCTATGAAACAAATTTGAGTGCTTCAAAAGCATCTAGGAAGGCAAGTCACTAAAAAGAAATGTTTATGATCAAATGAACTATATCTGTTTAACCGTAAAAAACATTGTTGGAGACTGGGAATTGTGTTAAGTGTAAAGACATTCTATATGCAAATTGCTTCTCAAGTGACTTTAAATTTTTGTTCCACTGTTAAGGAAAACAAAAACTAGGAATCACAGACAATGCATAAAGGATGTGTTTGATGTCCCTCAAAAAACAAGCATTGGAGGACTCTAATTTAGGATCCCTAGACAAAGAAGCAGATTTGGGCCTTTTAAAAATGTTATTTAACAAATACATAGTGTTTATCATATGTCAATCCTCCAACCTTTATAACATTCGAAGATTTGATCTCCATTGCAATCCTATGAAAAAGAGAAACTATTGTTGCACCCATTTTACAATGGGAACACTTGAGCACAAATTGGCTAAGCGTCCAGTTGGTGATTGATAGAGTGGGTATTTAAATCGGCAGTCAGGTTTGAGTTCCTCCCTTTTACTTCCTTTCTGTGTGCCTGCTGCATGGAACACAAATGGATATGAGAATATTTTTCTTATTCTGTACTCTGACATTTTGATTAACTGGCTGACCTGTGATAGAGTTGGATCGGAGGGCTTCTGCAATGCAATCGCAATAAGGAGCCTACTATATTTACACATTTCTGAAAGGCTCTTGATTTGTATCATCTAAGAATTTCCCCTTTCCTGTGTGTTCTGCTTTTGTTTTGTTTTGGATACCTGTGTTATCATTTTCTTGATAAGGCGTTATTCTCATATTTTCTGCCTAACACAGTTTCTTTTTTTCTCCCTTTTAATCTGATATTTCAAAGAGTCTTAGTACCCATATCCTTAGGCCAAGATAGAAGGAAAAGTATGTTATAATGTAGATTATTCGCACGAGCAGTTGAAAATCTGACAGCTTAGAACCAAAGTGTAAAAATTTGCTGTCACTTCTTGGAGTGCTGACTTTTTGTTTGCTACTGTTTTATTTTATATTATTTTAGAGGAGATGAGAAGATTTTAAAATTCCACTGTGCTTGTCATGTTTGTTTTCTTTCTCTACACTAAATCTTTATTTTCAGAATATAAATCTATTCATGAGTCTTATTTGGCAAGACACTACACTACACACGCACCTCCACCTGTCCTCGAGCATGAATCCTATTTTCTGAGAACCAACTAATGGCACTACCTCTCAGGGGCCTTCCAAGGTCACCATGTTCCCCCCCGACCTTTCCCCTTGCTAGAGCTCCTGTGGTATTGATGACCCATGCCACACAATTAGGCAGTTCATGGTACTGGCATGGAAAAGTGGAATCCTCAACTCTCATGGTACTGATTTTGGAGGTCATGCAGTACAATCCCTAGTCACCAGGGCTTTTGTGTCAACTTTTCATTTCACCTAAATAGTGATACTCTTGAGGGCAAGAACTATGTGAACTATGTGAATGTGGTGTTTTACCTACACTGCACAGATATTGTCACTGTTCCTAATACATATTCAGCGTGCACTTGTTGGTGGCTTAACACTTACATACATACATTTTTTATGGAATTTAATTTTGTATGTGTTGGGGTGAATGTTTCCTTTTCTTTGTTTATTTGTTTGTTTGGTATTTTTTTTTTGAATGCAACAATCTCATTGCCTTTATTCTCTTTTTTTCCATATTTATTGAGATATAATTGATATATAAATATATATATATAACATAATGATTTGATATATGTATATGCTGCAAAATGATCATCACAATAAGTTTAGTTAATACCCAGCACCTCACATAGTTACAGTTTTCCTTGTGATGAGAATTTTTAAGATCTACTCTCTTAGCAGATTTCAAATATACAACACAGGATGA